AACCCTCTTCATACGTTCCATTGATTATTGGGCCTTTAAAATAAAGTCTTAAATAGAAAGGGAATGTAAAAGAAATCAGTAGAACTCACAGTTATGTTTGTGCTATAAGCTAACCAGAAATAATTTCTTCGGTTATACTAGGAAGCATAGTCATTGGGCTCTGGTTCAATAAATAAAGATCAATATTCATCAGGGCAAGACGAGGTGGATTATTCACCCATCATCTCGGACTTCTAGCTTCAGCAATGCCATGCATCAAAAAAAAAAAAAAATCAACTGACTGAGTGACCAGATTTCTCCATCTTGGATTTTTTTTATTCCCAGGTTGGCACACAGTTACATTGAAACCAAGCACACCATTGTTTTTCTTGTGACATTACCAATAAGTGTGATGTGTCACATGACCCTCTTCCTATTGAAAAAACAAAAGTTGTATCCAAGATGGCCGACTTCTAAATGGCCACCATGGTCACCACCCATCTTGAGGAGTTTGCCCCCTCACATATACTAATGTGCCACAAACAGGACTTTGATATCACCAACCATTCCCATGTTGTCACGGTGTATCCATATAAATGGCCCACCCTGTAGTATCCTGTTTGTGCCAGTTGATGAACTTCCTGGGCTTTGGGACTGTTTGCTGTCCCTCGGCTCCTCATGTGTGCTCCTATTCCTTGGCATCCATGCTGCCTGGTTGGGACTGGCTTCTGCTGTCTGGCCTCTGTTGGCTCTCAGCGGGGTGCCCTGGGGATCAGTGGAGACCTTCCTGCATGTTTCTTGCTCAGGATGCTGGTCTCCACAACACTTTGGTCTTCTCTCGGTTTGGACATTTGGGGTTTCTGTGCTCATGTGGTTCTCATCACCCACCCTGTGTGATGAGAACCACATGAGCCATCACCCTCAGCAGAGCCATCTCTGCTGGGGGTGTGGGTGTCCTCACAACATAAAAGACCACACTGCCTGTCATTGTTATTGCTTATTATTGCTTGAGTGTTTTGTTTCTGGGTTTCTCTGTGGTGCATTTTGCTTTCTTTGAAGGGAATTGGGATATCACTGATAGCATACTGGGGAAGGTCAAATTCACATGTTTACAAAGGCAGGAGAGGACGAGAGTAAATCCTGTGACATATTGTGAAGATTATTGAAATGTTGCAAAAAGTGGCTAAAGGTAGGTAACTAAAGCTAAAGCCAGACAAGCAAATATTAGAATGTTTTACTGTTTTATTTATTTTGGCCAGATGGTGTACTACTCACCAAAATGTGCGGCGTTTCATGTATATATAATCCCGGTGTCTCTGACCTTGCATTGCCATTTTGGAAGAGAAAGAACGACATCATTAGTGAAACACGTATTCACAAAAATAAAGCTAAAACTTGTAATAAAATTTTGATTTACTCTACATTCTTAAATAAAATAAGTAAATCGTCCTGTCCTTTTATCTGGTAGATCTGCACTGTGAATATTTTTTAAGTCTTTTACCTGTGACGTTTAAAACAGTAGATAACTCCCAAAAAAAATGGAGTTACAACGAAGACTGTAGCTGCACCAACTGAGGAGAGTAAAATTACAATTCTCTTTAGGCTGCCGCCACCATTCTGGACGTCGTCTGCAAAGAAAAACATTAACATTATCTCAGCTAGTTTATTACAGCTGATGTTTCTGTCTGCAGAAACTATGCTACAAACACAGCAATGAACATAAAAAGCAAAACCTCATGAATTTTTACTGCTAACAAAACCTTTAAAAAACCATGTAGTACTACCTTCTTATGAAAGCGTGGATATCACATAACTGAAACACTTGATAAACACTGTTAAAGCAGTGGAAAGTAACCACCTTAACTCACATGTGAGAGAAAAGTAAGGAATAAGTTTGCACAGTGTTACCTTTGTGCTTGTGTTCACCTTCCACGTTCACCTTCCTTGAGAATGCATCAAGACCTTTCACGGTAACAATGAGATGCAGAACAAATGCTCCATCAGCAGTTCTACACTCACAGGTGTAGTTCCCGCTGTCCTCTGATGTTAAATTGTTCAGGTGGAGAAACACAGTCTGATTTCTTTTTATCAGCGTGAACCTGGAGTCACAGCCATGAAAAAAGTCCTCTCTGGTCTCATACTTCAGGAGACACTCTTCTCCTCGGCTCCTTTCTGTGCTGATCGTACATGCAATCAGTTTAATATTCAGTGTTGCACTGGTGCATGCTGGAGTTTGGTCTTTTCTCCCAATAGTCTTCATAATAGTCACTGCAAACAATCAATTAAGAGTTTATGTATTGTGCAATAATAGTCTGGGTTAACAAACCCAATAGTGAAAATTACAGATAATTGTGCTCGATGTGAATGAAAGATGGGCTGCAAATTTGTAAACAGAAAACATTACCTTCACTTTTAAAACACCCAGAAAGCGGCAGGAGCAGGATAAAGCACAGCCTCCATTGATCCATATCAATAAAAGAAATAAACACTAATGCAGCGCACATATGCCCCCTCATATACTGAAAACTGGAGGACAGTGATGTCCACTTTAATACTTCTCTGACTATCTGAACATCAAAGTATTGGCACTTCAAAAAAGGAAGTTCCTGTGCAGGCGTGCTATAGTAGGACACTGAAAAAGTAAATAGCAAGCACGTGAATACAAAAATAACCCCATTTAGACTGCACTAAAATGACCTGCGTAGACGTAGCTTTTATATATAGATATATATAACTACGTTTTACAAGCTAGATGTGTGAAAAATAGCATGCAATAAATAGCCTCTGTAGACAGAGGGGTAAATAGCTTCAGCTTCATTTGCTCCATATTATAACAAAGAAGTTCAGTGAGCATGCACATCATCTGGATTAGTACACATTATACTTTATGTAACTGACAAGCGGAAGTACAACCACAGATTTTACTGCCTAAACCTCAAACTAACACCTTAATATGTCTGTGACGCTGCATCTTCTCAGAAAGTGTAAGACTTAAATGTAAGTTAAACTTTCCATTAATAAAGGTTCACAATTCACATCACAAAGTCATTCATGGTCTTTCTTCAAAAGCAGAACCGCACTTTGATGTTTGGTCTAAAAGCAAATCTCATGACAATTTCATTCAGAATGTAAACATCTTCAGCGTGACACAAACTAAATACAACTAAAATGACATTTTATATACACCATTACCTGTCAGGCCTAATAATGTATAATGTATTGTGTAATAATGTGTTGTATAGTATCACCACGACTTCATGGAATAAATGAAAAATATGCTTTACTTGCTGTTTCAGGATGTTTTTCTCATGTCTTGTTTTGTGTTTCACTTCCTCTTGTTGTTCTTTTTCTTCTTTTGGGATTTTCTGGCTTTCATTGGTTTCACCTGTGTTTGCTTCTCTGCTGTGTATCCTCACTCTGCCTTCTCCTCTTTCCTGTTTTCAGTTCACTCACTTTTTCTCCTGTGCTCTTCACATATGTTTCCAAGTTCACGGCTTTGTTTCCTGTGTTATTTTGACTTATTTTGAGTGTATTTTTGTATCTTTTTTTTACTCATTTGGAAAAAAAGCCAAACTTTATTTTAAGATTGAGTTTCTTGATTTTCCATCTCTGACCCGTGGTGGATGACCCATCCAGTGTGGCCCACTAAATGATTCTGCAGAACATGAAAATTCCAGAAAAGAAATATTTATTTCAACTTTTTGATAAAATGCACTCTCATTGCTATTGTGGGGATAACAGCATCACTATATAGGAGTGCAAATCCATGAACATGTTAAATTCTGAATCATCCATCCATCCATCGTCATCCGCTTTGTCCGGGGTCGGGTCGCGGGGCAGCAGCCTAAGCAAAGAGGCCCAGACCTCCCTCTCCCCAGCCACCTCCTCCAGCTTGTCCGGGGAATACCAAGGCGTTCCCAGGCCAGCCGAGAGATATAATTCTGAATCATAAAAATGTGAAATACTTCAGTTTTAGTTTAGTCAAAACACTAGACTAATGGATGTCCTGTGCATTTGTGGATACACTTTGATCTATAAATTGTAAAGCACATGTTGTGGTAAGTTGTTAAAGTTACGTAGTTCAGATTACCCATACATTACAGTAAGTTATGCCAGGACCGTGACGGTAAGACATTGCACCATGAAACAAGTTCAACATACCCAGGACGTCTTTCTGTTATGGGGCTTCTCTCTCTAACTTCAACAATCAGGCTAAGCGGTCACTTAAAGGTGGTTATAAACGCCATAAATGAATCCAGGGTTTGTTAATCTAGGTGCTACCATGTCCACATGGAAAAGGTAGCGAAGTGGCTAATTTTACAAAGGGAGCAAGCTACAATGTTAGAAAAATTATGCATAATGCAGAGTGAAACTAACACAGTTTCTGAAATCAGCAGTATGATTGTGCTGTGCAGAAGTACAAAGTGCTGCACAAGTGCCCCTGTGGCTCATTGGGTTGAACCAGTGACCCACATGCTCAGAGACAAGCAGTTACCTGGGTTTGACTATGCCCCAGGCAATTTCCTGTGTGCCATTTCCCCTCTCTCTCTCTCTTGACTTACTTTGCAGCTCCATCAAAAATGCTACAAAATGCCCATAAAAAAGCCTTGTGTGTGGTCTGTAAGTGCTTCAGTCAGCAAGACCAGAAAAACACCATGATATGCAAAAAGTTGAGGCAACACAAAAAGCATTCAAAAATGCCAAATGTGTAAAGTAACATTATGTAAGTATCTATGCTTTGTCATCAAGACACAGGAGAATCTGATAGATTATAATTAAATTAATAATTAGATGTGATTAGTTTCATTTTCCTCACCTGTAGCCCTGGTGGCATTCAACAGACTTAAAGGATAAATATAAAAAGTTTTTATGTAGGCTTAGTATATGTGCAGCTTTGGTCACCACGTGCAAATCTGAGAAATAAAATGAATATGATTGTTTTAAAATTGTTTGCAGTTGACAGGCAAAAGAAAAAGAGAGAAAAAAGTAAAGGAATAACTTTGCGTCTAACATGAGGTATTTTATTAGGGTCTTTTTCAGATGATTTCTTTTAAATTACAGGACAAAAAAACAACAAAAAACCTGTTATGTACAGATGCGTGCACAATTCACGAAACAATAAAGGCCTTTTCTTTCAGACACAATATTTTCCTGTTGGCCTTTTCAGTAGTTTCATATATATTAAATTCCAGGAAGAGAGCCTGGAAAATGCACTTGTGTACAGAGGTTTGGTGGTTGTTGCTGGGGAGTCCCTGTTTAAAACCAACTGCGTGGGGAACATTGGTAAAGTGCAAAAGAGCAAAATCTGTCTGTGAGAAGAGGAAGTTGATACAGGAAGCTCGACGATGGTGTGAGGTCAGGGTTATGGCTCATTAACTGAAAAAGCCCTGAAACACTCAACGACCCATACTTAGATAACGATAAGCGGAAATGCTAATTATTGTTTCACATAGCGGTTTAAAGTGGGTTACAAATCTCAGCGTAGTGAACTCGCACCATGGCTCAAAAAAGATTTTTGCATGACGCTGTTTGACATAATAACTTGGTTTTGGATTATCATTATTTTTATTAACTGATATGTCAGCTGAGCTTATCTATCAGTCAATATATTGTATTTATATTAACTAATAAATAAAAAAATTGAAAAGTAGAGACGGGAGATTCATTCAACATTCAACCATGACTGTTACATAGTTTGTCCATAACTCTGCACTCTGCAGATCCCCTGTTGGCTACAAAGTGCAGAGAACAAACGGATAATCCATGACCTGTTAATATAAAAAAACAGGATTTTGTTTTAGACTGTATTATGATATTATCTTAGTGAGGACTCACATATAGATCACCCTTAAAAAATGTTTGGGAAATTTGTTTGTCTTTGTGTGTCTCAAAGACAACAACACCAGAATAAATATCTGAGTTTGAAATTACTACATATTGGTATCAGTATCAGTCTTAAACATCCAGCATCAGTCAAGATCTAATTATTGCTATAAAGCTATTACAGCTCTGAAATCAACAAACTGAATATGTATAAAAGTCCATTTTGTCACTCTAGACAGTGTGACTTGATATTTAAGTTTCAGATATAAAACGTTACTCTTAAAAGATTAAAATAAACTGTACTTCTACTAATGCAACAATAAGTGAAACTAATAGTAAAGCATCATTGCTTTGGAGATTGCAAGTCCAGCTTCACTGTTTATTCACTAGGAAATAGATACTTATTATAAAAGTGCTGCAAATTCATACCTCAATTTACATCAAATGTATTTCAAGTAATATGATTTAAGTTTATTTTAGAAGTTGAATAAAGCCCATTTTCTGTTTGGATGAAGATACTGTATGGCTCAATTTCTCCCGCTGCCTGTAAAGTGAAACACACTCAGTTAGTAAAAAGTTCTAAGTCAATGAAAAGCAGGTACAAAATGCAGTAAGTGCAACATTTTACCATGTACGCTTCTGTGTTTCCAGGATCAGTTATTATTTCAGGACTGGTTATTGGCAGCTGTCGTCTTCTGCTGGGAAAACAATTCACCAAAAAAATGTTTTTCAAAAGTTCTGCATTTTCTTAGAACTGAGATAAAAATATTTATTTTATATATGTGGATTCTAAATAAAGAGCTTGTGCAGGACAATTACAAAAATAAAGCCACATCGACCATAAGATGAGCGTCAGCGTAAGATAAATGTTACATTAAATAATATGTGACAGAGTTTGCATGAGATGTTGTGAATGCCTCAGTAAATATGATTATACTATGGTTATACTCCCTAACTGTGTTATAATACTGAGAACTGACTGAGAACCTTTACAGACATTATAATATAATAATCTCTTACCTGCTGCATTTTGTTACGTATATAAATCCAAGGAGGACTCCAGATATGATTAAGACTACAAGCACTCCAATTAAAACATAGAAAGACCATTTAAAATGTATTTCTGTAGGACTGGTGGTGACTTCATGGCTTTCAGTGCCTAGAAAAGAAAAAGAAATGAGAAAATCACCAGTGAGTTAATGAGTTAATTATAAAGCAGCATCATGATATTAACCTCTGTTGCTATAGTGTCATATAATATGTTCTTGAAATTAAGTGATTTTTGATTTTATTGTTTATACTGTTTAACAGCAGATTTTGTTGATTTAATTGCTTTTTTTTAAAGATATGTGGGCAGTCGTGAGGTGACCCCAGCTTCATACAAACCTTTGTTGATTGATATGATACCAGTTATCAATAACCACAGTAATACAGTGAGGCTCGGTTATAAAAGGTATTAAATCCACACTTTACCTTCCACAGTTACACTGAAGTGGAGCTTATATATTCCTCCGGTCTGTACACACTCACAGGTGTAGTTCCCGCTGTCCTCTGCTGTTACATGTGTCAGGTGGAGAAACACAGTCTGATTTTCTTTCATCAGTGTGAACCTGGAGTCACATCCATGCTCAAAGTTTTGTCCATGTCGATACAGCAGCCTGCACTCCTCTCCTCTGCTCCTCTGTGTGCTGATCTTACACACTGTCAGCATGATCACGTTCAGCGTTTCGTTGCTGCATATTCGAGTAACAGCTGGTTGTTTGTCAATGATTTTCATAAGAATCTCCGTACCAGCTGAAATATGTAAAACTGGAAGTCAGTTCTGTGTGATATACAGTTGCTAAGTTACCACTTGCACATTACCAACATTTACTGGTAAATACAGGTAATAAAACCTAACACAGATTAACTGTAAAACAACAACAACAATGCGCTGCATAAGCGATCCTACATAAATAACTGTTTTGCAAACCTTTGTTGTCCATACAGGAAGTGAGGAGCAGAAGCAGAGCAAACCCGAGTCTCCATTTATCCATACTGGTCAAAATATCTAAATAACAGTGCCACTGCTGCTGACAGTTGACACTGTAGATCACTGTAGGGCGAAGGGTTTATGCACCCAAGCCTCAGATTCTCAGCCTTCACTGAGGTCTGTGTTGGTGTGGAGGAAGGAAGTGCTGACGACTCTTCTGTTTTCATGTGAGCGCTGGAAGAGAGAGCCGGCGCATAAACACAGAAAATATATTCTGGCTGAGGAAAACAAATAGCAACACTTGTATACAGGTTAATTTAAAGGACTTTATGATCACTCTTATAGTGATGTCTGATAGAAATGAATGCAAAAGCTTTTGAGATTTTGCATCTGCGAGCATGTGCCTTTCAAAGTCATACTGCATCAGTAATCTACTTGAAGATGCATGAAAGACAGATGAAAGGATCTCATGTTTGAACAAATAGACATCACTGTCCCATTACCTAGAAGTATCTGAGTTTCCTAATCATGTTATCTTGACTGTTGACTGATGTGTGATTTACTAGCTGGAGTTTCAGTATCTAGAAGGTTGCAGTGTTGCGCAATTCCAAAATCCACCGAGAGATAAGATGGAAGGCAAATTCCCTTTTTTCATTTATTTATAGATTCCTCTGTAGTTACACGTTGTATACTAAGTGAGCATTGTATTCATTATAACATAAATTATTAAACATCCTCATCTGACACATGGCTTGTTGTAAATTTACATGTAAGAACTTTAAAATATGTTAAGGACCAGTATAGAGATTCAAATCAACTCTGCAAAAACACACTAAAGACAGACAAACGGTTGATGAAGGATTTTGTATGCATCCTCTTGATTGACTTTATCCTTTTAAAAATTATAAATAGATGTTAAAACAATGTCTCTTAATCAGTGAATTAAATACTTTATCATTTGTACATCTCACGGTCCTCATACCAGAGGCTCCAAGCCAGAGCGGTCCCTGACCTCCTCAGTCTCAATGTCACTTGTGGTTTCCAGGTCCAGATAAGTGACAAGGATACAAAGCTCCACTCAGAAAAAGAGTCTGATCGCAGACACGGGGGCAAGTTTACATATCATTATGCCAAGCTCCAAAAAATTAAGTTTCCAGACTGAGACACCAAACCGATATCATGTTGAATAATATGGTATCGGTGTTTATTCCACGCTTTGACTCTTCAAAACCTGAAATGGGCATGCATGCTGCAGAGGTGGCATTACCAGCAGAGGGAGACAGTATATTCAAAGCAATCAGTCGGTAGGGAGCAAGGTAGGTATGATTAAGCACATTGCAGAAGCAATGATGGTACGCAGCAAATATGTTGTTGTTACAACATGTAAATGTGTAATAATGCCTCAAACACTTTCCTATGATTGTTTTAATGTTGGCTTCAAATACAGTATCACCCTCTGCTGGTACTGCAGCTCACTGCAACTTATTGCAACTTCTGTCTCTCCAAAGTGTGATACGACACAGCGGACTGGCGTGTCTCGTGTCTATTACACGTTTTGTCGTGATACTGGGCTGAGGACACACTGCGTGAAGTTGGCTCAATGTACAAAATGCAGTTTAGTCTTAGAGTGCAGTGAACACGCACTGTACATCCCCTTATAGTTACAGGACATCTTTTCTGTGAAAGCAGCTGCTTCCCAGTTGGGTGATGTGACTTTCAACAAAGAGAAAGACGCCATGCAGCACAGAGACGGCACAAAGTTCCACATCTATGAATACAACAGACAGCACTACCTGCATACAGCGAGTGACCAGTGTAAGGGTTGATATGTTAAGCAGACACAGCGTGTAATACTAGGGCACTATAATTATGATGATATTCAAAAATAGGAAAATGTTGTTGATGATATGACAATCAAAGGTAACAAACAAACCTGCCCTACAATGTGAGGTGTGCACACAGGGCCACACACAGACCTAGCAGGACCAGCAGGACCAGAGATGGGTTTGCATTATCATTCACTCATGATTATTCCAGTGCAAAAAATAAGAACGACCAAGTGCAAGCTACAGAGAAGTTTCTGTCTGATACCCTGTATGGGCAGATTAAATGTATCTGAGTTTATGGTAAAGGACAACCAGGCAAATAATGTAATGAAGCATAAGACTTCCACACCATACTTATCACATCAAAATGCTACTGCTGAGAGAAACTGCTGCACACCGTTTAATAGGGATGGGTACCGGTATCTGGTACCATTATGGCACCGGTTCTGACATAAACGGTAGTAACCAGACCGAAAAGCAGTGAACATTTTGGTGCTTTTTTTTTCCTGAGATGTCATACACTTTAGATTCTAGCCAATCATTTTACCTTTGCGAGCGTAGTAGGCGGGCCCAGGTACGTACGTTCTTTTAGAGCAGAGCTACAGATTAAAGCGAAGCTGTCAAAGTCTGGCTGTACTTCACAGCAAAAGATGCAAACTCAGCAGCAACAAGTGCTTTAAGGTGATACTGTGATACTGTCAAAGGAGGTAACACCTCGAATCCGATGAAACATCTGGCGACACAAGGTGTTTTTTTTAAAAGCTGAGAAATGCGCCGTATTTGATAGCTTGCTGCGAGACCTCACACCGAGCACATCTACTGCGGGTTGCCTGTTATTGGATCCGGAGTTAGCAACATCCCCTAAGAACCCGAAGAGGAGAGTCCTGGCCCCTAGCCCTGCCAGTGTAGCAGAAATGATGAGGATGATGATGCAGCAGCAGCCGTTCTTCTCTGCGTGAGTAGCTTCATGTTGTTCGTGTGTAATTTACTTTGAGTAGGCTAACCACGTTATTACATTAATGCATGTAAAGTGAACTAGCAAACATCATCATAGCTACATGAGGCTGTCTTCTTGTTTGATGGCAGATACTCCCTTCACCCTGGCTAAAAAGGCTAAAATGACCAAAGAAAAAGTGGAAAACAGTTAAACATGAGAGGTTTTTGGACAAAGTTTGTGTTTTTTCCATTGTTTAAGCTTCCAGCCAAGAGTGATACCATATATGCCCCATAGCTGCAGAATCCATGGATGCCTGGATGTTAAACTTACTTGTTAGACCTGGTAAAGCAGCCACACTGATGTTTTTATTAACCCTTTAAGACCTACCATAGAACCAAGTCTGCCAGAGCTCATATTATATTTTTACATGCTGTAGTGCTATTTTTGGGAGCATTTCAAGTTGATATACATCAATACAACCATTATAGCCCAAATTCTAATAATATGTCTGCATTAGGTGCACAGTAATTACATAAATTGCAAAAAACTGCAATAAACTACAAAAAAATTGAAAATCGTTTTTGTTTTTGTAACATATATTTCTAGTTAGAGAAATTTAAGAGGCTTATCCCTCAAAACTGTAAATACAAAAAAGTTGCACAAACAAGTTTCCCACCACAGGAAATTTATTTTGAGTGTCTTCATAGTTTTATTTCTGAAATACACCAATTTTTATATACTGCAGGAAAAACAAAAATAAATATTATAATGCAAATTTGCAAAATACCAGCATATGCATCAAAACAAACTATTTCCAGCAGTGCAATATGAGTCCTAAGCGTCCCAGAAACGACACAGAAAGTCCTAAAGTCAAACATAACTTTTAAAAACACAAGTATAGGCTCATAAGGCACCGATGATTAAAAAAAAACTACATTTCCGCAAAATGACGTCACTTCCGGTTTTGGGCAGGTCATTGCAGACATGCGATAGTTCACACCGATGGACGTAGGAAGTGTTAGGAACAGCTGATCGGATCGGCAAAGCGTGTTTCTGGAATATTATGTTTTTGTTGCTGCAAGCGCTTTTTATGCAGTTTTTGCAAAGCTTTATGTGGAAGGAAACTGTGACTGAGGACAAGCTGATGGCATAAGATGCAAGTACAACTGCTCCAGTTTCATATGCAAAAAAAATTATTGTGCTAGCTTACGTGGTTGCAGAGCTACCGGGATTTAAAAATAGTTACGCAAAATGGAGCGTGTACGCTCTGGCCTGCTTTAAAGGGTTAAAGATGGGAGAATTTAGACAATTTTCCAACTCTCAGTGATGCCGCAGTGATTATTTGACTTTGGGACCTGCAGCGGACTTTAGGCCCAGACATGGCTAATGACTTCAGTCTTAAAGAGCGGATACCTGT